GTGTTAACAGTGAACCCAGAGTCGCATATGAAAGAATCTTTTCATAAAAATTCGATGTTCCTATACGTAAAATATAATTTTAATGTTATTCAATCGAATCTAGTGAGTCAGAAATAATTTTATAGCTATTTCGATCTGTTTTAAAGTGAAATATAAATAGCTGTCGAATATTGCCTAACTCATCCCGTGTCATTCGCGATTTAACAGGTTGATTTCAGAGTAATGCTCACTGCAAATGGTAGCTCTCACATAGCTCTCACTGTAGTACACAAAACCTACCTCGAGATGTCTTTTTCCCGAATTGATAGTTTTTTTCGGCGTATTTCTCCACGAAGGAAAACGTCAGCTTAAGAAGATGCCGTAAATCGTTCATGTCCGATTGCGAGCGCGCCATATTTTGAACTACTAACTTCCGCGTTCCAGCCGGGTCGGCTTGTTTTCGAAACCCTCATGAATATTCATTAAGTAATATTTAGAATCCCGTATCACCAATTGGTAGACTGTTGGACACCCATGTATCATCACCTGGCAAACTGTTGGTCACCCATGCATCATTAACTGGTAAACTGTTGGACAGCTATGTTGCACCAGTTGACAACTTGTTGGACAGGTTTGTATCGCCAGAGGGTAAGGTTAGGCAACTTGTACAACCCATCAATGTATGTGATCAGGTGTTTGAGTTTTGCACACATTGTGGACATCAATACATTTAATACATAATATACTGAGTCAAATTAAAAACTTCACATTTTTAAAAGTAATCCCATATATGATATACAACGGACAAATGTATCAGAGAAGGTAATTTTTAATCATTAGGATTTTAAGGATTTTAATTAACGGTGGTAACTATAATTTGTTCCAAGCACCTACGGTATTCGGTAATAACATCAACAGTTTAAATCATAAGTCCCAAGCACGAGAATCTGATGGCACACAAGTTCAGTAGCGTGTATGGCCACCATGTGCGTTGACAACTGCCACACAACGCCTCCGCATGGACCTTGTGATGCTTGTGAACACATGATTGGGAAGACGACGCCATTTTTACTGCAAAATGGTGCCAAGATCTTGCAAATTCTGTGGTTGGTTCTGGAGAGTGCGCAGACTTCTGCCAAAAGCATCCCAGACGTGTTCGATGGGATTGAGGTCCGGAGACCTTGACGGCCAGTCCATTACGTTGACTCGAGCATTCTGAAGGAAATTCCCTGTCCAAATTGCTGTGTGGGGTCTGGCATTGTCGTGTTTGAAGATCAAACCGGGTCCATGTGCTGCCATAAAAGGCAGAAGTTCTGGTGCCAGTACCTGGTCGCGGTAAGCAGCAGCGTTGAGGTTGCCATGGATGACAAGAAGCCTGGAACGTGCATTGCCACAGAAAGCACCCCACACCATGACACTTCCGCCTCGAAATCTGTCAACTTCCTGTACACAACACTGGGCGTAACGTTCATGACGGCGCCTCCACACCCTCGCCCTACCATCAGCAAATCGAAGATTAAATCGGGATTCATCACTGAAGACGACTTGATTCCAATTCCGCTGAGTCCATCGTAAGTGTCGCTGTGCCCACAATTGACGTTGACGTCTGTGTAATTGAGTCAGAATCGGCCCGCAGTATTGCCGTCGTGCTTGAAGGTGAGCAGTTCTCAGACGGTTTCGAACAGTTTGCGAACTCAGTCTACCCCTCAACAGTTCATTTCTGGTTGATGAAAATCGGTTACGGAGGTGACGTAAGACAATCTGACGATCCTCTGCATGTGACGTCACACATGGTCGACCTGGCCGAGGGCGATCAGCGGTGGTACCCGTTTGCTGTAGACGCGTCTGTAAATCATAAACGACTACAACCCATCGTCCTTGCGACTTCAGCTACGGACGTTCCCGTCTGCAACATGCCGATGCCACGTTCACGTTGCACATTTGAAAGGCGTGGCATGACAAATGGCCGTAAAGACTTTCGTTTTCTTCTGGGTTTTTTTTTTGTTAATGACTGCTAACAAGTATGGCTGAAAACACGTGCGGTATTATGGCCACGTGACCAGTTGCACGTGAAAAACACTTTTGCCACTATAGTGCTGTGCACATGATTTTGATCGATTCACCTTCACAAAAACGGGTGTTATCTGAAGACAATACATGGCCATTACTGTATAAATCCACAATAAGGGCCCACAATGATAACTGGTCAAAATGTTAAAATTTTAGGATTGTGAACTTTTTAATTTGGTTCAGTATACATTGGTTTAAGGGTACAAGCGGGAGAATATAGATGGACACGCTTAATGGACGTGATATTAATGATGGTGAGCCACAAACTACTTCCGAAATTAAGCTACGATGATTAAAGATCGGCAATTACTGGCAATACGTGTAATAATTGTGTTCGTGCCTTGTACACGTCGTTTGTGATTGGCGAGTTCCCCAGTACAATACATTTGATGGGTTATTAATGTCTTTCACTTTGCTTTTCTGCTTCCCTGCTAGCTCTTGTAAAACAAGGACAACATATTGACCCAGGGAAGCGTATTATTAATCAGTAGGCTGGTGGTAACGAAGCAAAGGTTCACAATCATGCAAACACTCAGAACACATGAGTCGCGTTTGGAAAATCCTAGATTCGAAACAGCATACACGCCGGGGTTGCAGGTACTTGCAGTGTCGATTAAACAATGTACAAACGTGACGGTACTTTGTGCCTAACACCAGGTTAGCTTAACAGGAAGCTTCACTTGTTAGTGAATGTGTGATCACAAGGTGTAGACAGAATATCATTAGAGTTGGTGATTTTTACAATTGCCCAATTCTTATACTGAGTATTGGGGATACCAAAGGTAACAGTTTATTGTTAGAGGACATTGGTTGTGAATACTTAGGATATTTTTCAGATTTTTAATCCTTTCTTTCTGTGTGTTTATCTGTGTTTCTGTATGACAACTTCCAGCTGGTTACATTATAATGAACTTGACAAGTGATGATGAATTTTAACATTCATATCATTATAGTTTGTCAGATTGGAAACAAAACTGTAATATAATGTTTTTATATATTCAATGCGGGGAAAAGTCCATGTGGGGAATGTCAGCGCGGGGTATTGTCCCAGTGGGGTGTTGTCCATGTGGGGAATTTCCTATACTCTCGCGAAATATATATGGTCACTGAGTGAGTAACGACCTCTATAACCTCTGTTGACACTATCATCATGTTCAAATTCAATCTTCCATACAAGTGTGAATAGGACTTATGCATGTGTTGATAAACCGCACTAATGCAATTATGTAAATAAATATTTGCTATGGGCCAAGTACATAGCTTGAATACATTTTTGTAGATAGGAAACATTCTCATTAATTGGGGATACATTGGGCAATTATTAAAATCTTATGACAGATGAATTAGTGCATGGATACATGAGAGCTGATGCAGATATAGTGAGATGGAAGTGGTGGTATGGTGATAAGGGAAGGGTGTGTATGTGTGTAAGCATGAGTACGAATACATAACAGCAGATGTAGTTATAGTTCGACGGATGCATGGGTATAGCGGAGAATGGAGGGTGTGGTGGGAGGAGGGAGTATGTATGCAAACATGCGCATGGATCCATGAGGGCTGACGCAGACATAGATTAGATGGTAGTATGGATATGGTGGGGAAAGAAGAATACGATGATTGCGTGCGTGCAAATACATTAGGTGGTTGTGGATGCATGAATGCAGTTATCCCGCAATATGCCAAGGAGAAGCACGGGCCGCCGAGCCGTGGATGCCCGTGCCTATAATAAAAACAGAAGATGAGATTGGGTTAAATGGCCGAGGGTGTGCAGGTACTAGTGGGCTACTAAGCTGCTAATTGTGTATACCCAGATGCTACCGTTGCCATGGCCACTAGCGTGGCCAACGGCGACTCGCAGCTAGCGCTGCTGGCCTGAGACTGCTACCCTGTCCGGCCCCCACGGTAGCATATTTAAACGCTACCATTGCTTGGCAACTCCCACGCTGCCAAAAACAGCTCCCCGCTGCTGGCCTAAGTCAGACTACCTCTGCCCGGCCCCAGGTAGCCGGCCAAAGCAGATCCCACTGCCTGACCCCATTAGCAAAACCATTGTGCGACTACCGCCGCGGACCCAACTGTCAGCTACCGCTTGACAAGACGACTTCCGCCGCCGGGCCCATATACGTGGCAATTGTTTGCTCCAACGTATGTTATTTGACGATTCCCCGGCTGAAAAGTGAGTGATATTCTGTCTACACCTTGTGATCACACATTCACTAACAAGTGAAGCTTCCTGTTAAGCTAACCTTGTGTTAGGCACAAAGTACCGTCACGTTTGTACATTGTTTAATCGACACTGCAAGTACCTGCAACCCCGGCGTGTATGCTGTTTCGAATCTAGGATTTTCCAAACGCGACTCATGTGTTCTGAGTGTTTGCATGATTGTGAACCTTTGCTTCGTTACCACCAGCCTACTGATTAATAATACGCTTCCCTGGGTCAATATGTTGTCCTTGTTTTACAAGAGCTAGCAGGGAAGCAGAAAAGCAAAGTGAAAGACATTAATAACCCATCAAATGTATTGTACTGGGGAACTCGCCAATCACAAACGACGTGTACAAGGCACAAACACAATTATTACACGTATTGCCAGTAATTGCCGATCTTTAATCATCGTAATTTAATTTCGGAAGTAGTTTGTGGCTCACCATCATTAATATCACATCCATTAAGCGTGTCCATCTATATCCTCCCGCTTGTACCCTTAAACCAATGTATACTGAACCAAATTAAAAAGTTCACAATCCTAAAATTTTAACATTTTGACCAGTTATCATTGTGGGCCCTTATTGTGGATTTATACAGTAATGGCCATGTATTGTCTTCAGATAACACCCGTTTTTGTGCAGGTGAATCGATCAAAATCATGTGCACAGCACTATAGTGGCAAAAGTGTTTTTCACGTGCAACTGGTCACGTGGCCATAATAACGCACGTGTTTTCAGCCATACTTGTTAGCAGTCATTAACAACAACAAAAACCAGAAGAAAACGAAAGTCTTTCCCCGATGATCTTGGTGTCAGGAAGCTGGAGTTGTATCCGAAGGATTGATGCCACCATGTCAAGGTAGAGTTGGCTGCCCTTGACCGAGCACAGGTCGTTGGAACCCAGGTGAATGATGAGGGCTCTGGGGCTGCGCTGTGTCGCCTTGACCTGTGCATCCAGAATGGTGTCCAGCTCCTTCCACCTCATCCCCCCTCGTGCCAGCCATAGCATCCTCGGTTGGTTCGGACTGGTGCCCTTCAGGAGCAAGTACTGCCGTGCCCTGGCCATGTAGCTGGATCCCACCATCCAAACTGTAAACAATAAGATGTGTAGTAAGTACCATGAAAGACTATTTGAATTAATTGTGTAACATTGAATTTGTTGGTAAGCGTATGTAAGCATTGTAGCAATCTGATTTCCACCTGTCGTATTGTTGTATGAGGTGTTCGGGCACCCCGTTCATGGCTGCTGATGTGGCTGCCCCAATGCGGAAGGAGTGCGAAGAATAGCAAGCCGTGTCTATGTTGCTGTGTGCTAAGGCCTTTTTTAGGAGTGCCTGGAATTGGAACCTTGTAACGGGGGAATGGTCGAAATGAACGAATGCATGTTGTGGGCCGGAGGGGCGCGCCTCCAGGTAGTGCTTGATGGCGACTACCGGACATAGCGGGTTACCTGGTATCGATGACATTGTAACTGTTGTCCCCATCCTGTACTGATCAGACTTTGAGTGTGGTAAATGGATTGAAAGCTGCTGGGGGTTGCCCGAGAAGCTTTAATTCTGGATGGTGCAACCTGTTTTTGAGGGTCCAGTTTGGACCAGTTCGCTAACCCTAAAGAAGCCGAAGAAGGCTGTGCAGTAGACTGCCTTGAACAGTCTGGCTTCATATGCTGATGAGCATACGTGAGGCAGATTGTTGGTTACTACCTGCAGCAGATCTGCAGTGATCGGTTTTCTGGTGTCCAGTCGGCCCGCTGATTTGTGTAAGCCTGTTAAAATCTTGCCTACCAGGAAATGGTTTGCACAGTCGGTGAGCCCGTGGAATTTGTGGTGTGAAGACAGCGCTGCAATGTAAGTCTTGACTGTGTTAGGGGAGTGGTGAGTGACTGACAGATAAGCAATAAAGTTTATGACCTGATCCAGCGTGACTGGCCACACCTCTTGTAGCTGGTGTGTGGACCGGAGCTGGTGCAAGGCATTGATGCCTGTTTGGTAAGTGGCCCATGTATTTGTAGACAGAGATTGTTGTAGGAGTCTGCCGGCTTCCTGCCTCAGATCAGCCTAAAGATATTCTTCACACATTGTACCCATGACGGGATTCGAACCCGAGCCTTCGGCGTGGCAAGCGAACGTTATAACCACTAGGCTACCCAAACACATTAGGTGGTTGTGGATGCATGAATGCAGGTATGAGTATGGATACACGGGAGGACAGGAAGACTTGGGGCTGGGTGACTGGGCGTGCATATACTGATGTTACCTTTGTTTCACTTATAGTGTTTCCTAATGATTTATATATGTATTACGCATTTTAAAGACTTAAGTGTTTCATAGGTCATACTGGTCGGGCATTGTACATACTATACATATCGTGCGTGACGCTTAAATAAAAATCTTCTTCTTCAGAAGGTGCGCAAATAACTGTGTCCGGTTTTACCGCTGGGTTTGGTTTGGTGTAAGTGTCCAAAGATTGTGCCATAGTTGTGAAAAAGTTGTACATGGTATATTTTTGTCATTAAAGTGTTTTATGATATACGACAGTTGGAACACTGGTTGGGTTACATGCGGTTTGAAATCAGTCAGTAACATGAGAAATTATGTTAATTTAGCAACATAATCCTGCATTAATAATTGTATAGATGATAATCGTGGGACAAAATTTAATTAGCTTTTAATCGAGACTGATTGTACTCAGCGGCTTTCCTGTGCACATGTTTGACTAGTTTGAGTTGTTGACAGACGAATAACACGTGTTTTTCATTTATAAGCACATTAAATTCAAATATATACTCACACGCAAAAGAAACGCATGTGGTTTTTCAGCAAATAGGTAACAAACACGGAACCATGAATTGATACGAGTTTTAGCATGTAGTGAAGCCTGATGGTGTTATCAATATTTTGGGTTGCATTTTGGAAGCCCCGAGTAAAAACGCAACATCAAAAACGAATCGCCAAAACGCACAATTTCAATGAATATGTGTACAGGATGGGGACAACTGTCACGAACTGTAGTGGGTATAAAACTGTGGCCGATTGAACTTGGACCTACCACTCCTTGGTCAACAATGCCACGCCTAACTCAAATTCAGAGAAACCAGGCTATCGGACGTTTGGAAGCTGGAGAGTCTGTCCAAGATGTTGCCCGTCATTTCAACGTTAACAAAACCACAATTAACCGTCTCCTGCATCGAAACAATGCTACACAGACCAAAGATGACCTTAGTCGGAGCGGTCGTCCTAGGGTCACCAAACCGTGACAAGATCGGCAGATTACCCGTCAACACCAGCGACATTCGTTCCTAACTGCAAGTGAAAGTGCTCGACAGACCATAGCACAGCAAAAAAAGTGTAGGTTTCCGTCTTCCGGAAACCTTCCGGATACCTACCCATTTTGGATCCGGCCCGGATACCTTCCGGAAACCTTCCAAAAAAAAAGTCAAAATTTTGTTCAGTTAAGTGTGAAACACATAAAAAAAATAACTTGAAAATACCAAGCAATTTGAAGGTTGCTGAAGGCATCAGGAAGGTTTCCGGAAGGTTTCCGGAAGGTATCCAGATGTAAATTTTCTTCATGACTTGCTTCTGGTAAATAATGTTAGCATGTGCATTACAGGTAGCTGTTGTAATATTCTGGGTTACTTTAATGGTAAATATCCTCCTAAAACATTTTTGGAGAAGACAATTGTTCAATTTCATCTATTGTCCTTTTCGGATGTTAATGGTATTTAATGAACAAACATCAGTTCTCACATAATGATATCCTTAAATTTCATGTCCAGACTTCCAGTTTGTACTGAGAAAAAGAAAAAGTCATTGACAATGTGCTCACTTCAGCCTTTGGTCCTAGTGAGATGATAATAAGACTATTTGTAATGGTACATGTACTTGTTATATCCAAAATACTAACTTCATTGAAATTTGCCTCACCCTAGTTTTATGGTACTACAGTGAGCTCTTCCTCAGTTACTGTGAATTCTTTTATTAAAAGGGATTGAGAGTTAATTTGACACTGGAGTTGTAACCACTGCTCATATATGTGTATTCAAATAATATAACAACTATGTGCTTAATACTTCACAAATATCTCCAGAAATAGACATTTTAGTCATAATTGCAGAAATACTTTATGAATGACCCCTTCACTATTGCCTTGATCTTACACTTCAACCCTTCATGAGTTATCACTTTTGAGTGTGAATTTGACCTTCAATATCAGTGATAAATATTTCAAAAACATTTCAAAGAGCTATCCAGCACATAAACCAAATGTGCAGTCCTTTGGTAGAATTCAACATATCATTGACAAAAATATGAAAGTAATGTAACCAGTATATGTATAAGAGTCACTAAGACATCTGCAGAAAAGGCAATTTAGGGGAAAATTTAGTATATATAGATCACACATGACCTTTTTCCAACTTCGACCCCTGCCCAAAGGAAGAGTTAGACCACAAACAAACTTTTTGTCTGGTTGTGACTTTGACCTTTGACATAACAGATCAATGTGTCATCAGATGTTTTCAGAGCAAAGGAAACATGTGTTATTTATTCTTGAGATGCCCAAGCAATACATGGTTTCATAAGATAAGTGTGGCTATTAAGTGAGGCAAAATCATGAAACATCCCCATTTACACAGCTGGCAAATAAAACATAAGCAACAATCAAATCATCAATTTCTTTTATTCATATTCCTATAGTATATCGCACATTGAACAGTGTTCACATGATGGTTCCTGATGCAGTATGCAATTTCATCCTATTCTTCAATACTCATAACAGAGTGTGATAACTGTTCGCTTGACAGTACCTACGGATAATGTTCACCAGTTCAGAGAACTTACTTTCCCTCAATCCTCCTTTTCTTTCTATATTGTCATGGATGAACAGGAACCAGGATGAGGGGATACCAGTTGGACTCTATCTCTGCAGCATTGTGTTAGTAGAATTGTGAACTTTCCATTTGGTGTTTGGGTCCACATTTGAAGACAATAAGTCCGACTGATCATTCCTTTCAAGTGTTTACCACATGGCTCAAGACAAGAATTTCCTGAATGTCCTGGAAGAATTCCACTCCAGCTTGGCATTGGTTGGTCTTCTCACATTAGGCAGACCAGCCTTTGTGTGTCCCAGTACCATTTGGCATACAACTTCTCGGTCGGCCTCCATTGAAATAACAGGACCCTCGTCATCGCTGTCTGCAAATCACCTCTGATATCTGAAGGGGTGCACCCTCTGTTTAGGACTCCCTTGTCTGGTCCTTCCAGACTGTCAACCTGGAGTACTCATCCAGGGATCTCAAGCAGGACTTCAGTTTCTGCGGCATAATGTACAAAGATTTTAGCAATCAAAAAGAATTGTTGCCACATGTACTTACAGATAGAAGGCAGCAAAATAACTTAAGTTATCATATGTGAGTCTTGTTATATGCTAAACATTTAAGATAATCACATCTCAAATATCAACCAGACAAACCAGTGATTAATGTTATGAACTCGGTCAAGACAAACCGTTGAAAACTATTATGGACAATATCCCACATCACTGTGGTATGATTACATGCGATCAATGAGCCTACTCAATCACTACCTTATCTATTAATTAGGCTTGGGACCGCCTCCGTGGTCTTGTGGTAGAGCGTCCGCCCGGAGAGCGGAAGGTCCAGGGTTCGATCCCGGGCCGCACCATACACAAAGACGTTAAAAGATTGTACTTGTTGTTACCCTGTCTGGCGCTCGGCATTAAGGGGCTAAAACAAGGACTGGTCGGCTCGGAGTCAGTATACTGTGTCTGAGTGGGGTATTCATGTTAAACTGCGGCATGGTATCTCAGTGAGCTAGCACTATAAATCGGCATCAGTCCGGACTAGTACAAGCAGCCACACACACATACACGTGCATGCACGTCGCTATATAAGCGCAATAATCTTGGACGCGACGTTAAACCCAATTTCACCTCACCTCACCTCACCTCACCTAATTAGGCTTGGAATGCTGGGAATCTTTTTAAGTGATGTCATTTTGTGATTGTTTCAACTCATCAACATGGAAAAATATATATTTACAATCCTTGTCATATAGCCAAACTATTGCTGGATGCAGTGTTAAATAAATGAGTTGGCTTTAACACTGCTTTGAACAGTATTCCAGATATATCACCGCATGTTAGCTTGATGTGGGAAGAAAGCCCTAAGTGATGCAGGTCTTTGATGAATCCCACGAGCATGTGTATAATGCTGACAAACCTAGCAACATAATCGGGTAGAACCAGGATTTGAACCCATGACTATAGGTTTCTGCCCAAGCCCAAGAGATGCAACTCTGCACAGAAAATTGTAGTGCCTTAGATAATAGGACATCCGTGCCCACAGCGATAAGGAACAAACTGAAGAAATATTTGCAAAATAACCATATGAACCAAACAGAATAATTTCAAAATATTTACCACTGTTGCTCTTCTATGGTCTTTCATTGCATTGATGCTGCACAGATGACTGTCTCTTTTATTCATCCGGACATTCTACAAACATAAGCAGCATTCACATCACAGAAATGTCCAAACTGTACATGTTGTACATTTGAATCAAATGAAAAGACCCCGGTTGTGATTCCGACTTAGAACTGCCCTAATTATAATAATTCATGTCAAACATTCAGAGATGACATTTATCCCCATATTTAACAAATGTCAAAACAATATTTTGACAACAAAGTCAGGGTCATTCAACACATAAATTACATAGGAAATAACTTGTTCGACAATGCAGAGAGATCCTCACCGAGGTGAATATCATTCCATGAATTATTGCCAAATTTTCTTGAAATGCAGATTAATGCAATGCACCTTTATTTCTAGGCTATTTGTTTGGCTTTTCCATGGCGCTGTTTTGACAGAGATCTAACCTTGATATGACACTTTGTTCAGAAATGATATGAATAAAAGAATACTTTATTATTCCCGAGAAAATTTGGGTTACATTGTAAAAGCACAGAGAAACAAGTATAAGATTCATGATTTAAGTTAAATACACTCATACATACACACACAAACACAACATCCAAACACCAGGGTTAGAAATTGGCACTAGTCATTTTGACATTTTAAAGGTTTTGCTATATGCTATCATTTTAGGACTAGTGGACTGAAAGTGTTAGTTTCTACCACTGCAAACACTAATCAACTAATGAATTGGGTGGTCAGACTAGGTTGTCATCATACTCTGAGGGCATGGATCTTTGCTGATAATAACAATCACTAGATTGCCTGGTCCATGTTCAATTATTTACAGGCTGCCATCACAGAGCTGGACTATTGTGAGTGTGATGTTTCACATAGCATTGAAATATACGATGATGAATACATGTAGTTTGCGCCAGTTAGGTTAGAAGGAACTGTACACTTGTCACACATCGACAGGACACAGGTAAAGACTTGATGATATTTATTGGCAACACTCGAAACGAACCGCGAAACCCAAGCGAGCCTCCCAAGACATGCGAGCTACCAAGGGGAGCTAACCCTGCTTACATTAAAGCATGCCAAGCAAACCTGCGTTGGCGTGACTGTCTTTTTTTTCTTCATGATAAACGTTATCTAAACAAACCATAATGAAGGAAATAGGCGTGAAAAACAACTTGGTAAGTAAACAATGATGTAATAAAGATCCAATTTCTGGTTAACCATGAAACCAATTGGTAAGTAAACCATCATAGGGTAGACTGCCCTCTGGTCGATGGGGATTATTCTGCCCCTCACAAACATAACATTTAATAAACAAACATAACATTTAATAAACAAACACAATACTTCAAAAGTCCAAAACGTATTCATCAAATCGCTTTGGTCGTTGACGTTGACGCGATGGCCTTGAAGTTGAAGATGACTGTATACCTGGGTCAGATTGATCCGACGCAGAACTGATGTCGGTTGTCGGATGATTGTCATCAAACACGTCATTCTTAAGCGGTGGCAGAGGAGGAGTAGAAATTTCTAGAGGAATGTGCGGAGTCTCCGGTGTCTGGTGAAGTGTCTCAGGTGGGTCATCATCGATGTCAGATGTGTCCTCACTGTTCGCTTCATGCACACGTGTCTTGTTCCAAAGGGGGACTTTAAAACATTCTGAGAGCTTAACTCTGTATGAAGTGTTCCGCAGTTGGGTCCCAACGAACTTGCGGACATTGCACCAGAGGCCATCTTTGGTGACTACTAGGTAACGATTCCGTGCACATGTTTTATTGCGATCGTTATGAAGGTACACCAGGTCGCCTATCTCAATTTGATCAATAACAGGTCGATGACTCCGAGGAGCCTTGGATTTTTCACTGTGACTGTGTTTTTTTTTGGCGATTAACATGTTGCTCTGTTATCAACTGCTTGTCGGACAGAGGCAACTGACAGTTTGTGAATTGGTCTCTCTGGGTCCACATCTCTCGAGAAGACAAACCTCGTGAACGAATGCGTGTGTTTAGGCGGGCGACAGCGATTGCAAGAGCTGTTGGTGTAGTGGGGCCCCGTACAGGGTCTTGGCGCACAAGCTCATCCTCTAATTCTTGTATGGCCTTTTCAGCAACTAGGTTCTTGTTCACATTCTTCACTCTGCCTATTTCTAGGGTAATTCTATGTTGCTGGAGACGTTCATCCGTGACTAGACTGCTAAAGCCTGGGGCTGGGTCAGTGCGGATAACAGCGTGAGGGCCATCAAGTGGACGGAATTCAATGCAAAGACGAATCAATGCCTCACACAGGGTGGAGCCACGCTCATCGGTAATGATGCACGCCGCAGTGTAGGATGTGACACATTCACGTAGAACGAGGATTAGTTGTCGTTCCCTGCGCATAACATCTGACGCAAATGCAAACCCAACAGTTTCAGGTGGATCACTGGTGCTTTGGTCCACAACAACATGAGGTGTCTTACGCAAGGAGGCCCACCGGTGACAAGATTTTGAGACAGTGTTTATGGATCTGTCAAGGTCCAAAGCAAAGAAGTATCTATGGCATACTTGCTTGAGTTGGTGTGCAGATGGATGATCCAGTTGTATGTGTAGGGCAGTCAGGACTCCGTCTAATACTTGTCTTGGAACAACAATGCACTCTCTTGGTGAACCGAGTGACTCAGATTTTCGGACAACTAGCAATCCATCCTTGGAGATGGTTGCTGTATTTAGGTATCGTTTGACATCCCTGATGTTTGTTATCTTCTTGGATGGTCGGGTACCTTGGAGAAGATGAGCATGTGTTCGTCGAAGATCCTGGCACTCCTCTTGCAAGGAACGCCAAGCAGACCTGCTTGTGAAAGGAAGGCGGGTTGTTCCATTCATGATGTCCTCTATAGACAGTTGTCGAACAACAGAGCTTTCTGTGCGCTCAATGAAGGAGCAGATTTGGCAAGAGGGATTGTCACATTCTGGTGCATTTCTGCTTGCAAAATCGGATGGCACATTTTCAGAACCAGCGAGGTGTTGTATCGTTGCTTGGTAGCGGCTAACTGTCGATAAGAAGGTAGACACCCGAGGACTAGCAGAGAACTCCCCACGGCATAACTTCTCAAATGCCAAAACACATGGTCTACTGTCGGTAAGGACACATGCTTTGTGTTTTGACTGGATAATGAAAGGACTGAAATGCTTTGTAGCGATAGCAATTGAAAGGGCTTCCACTTCACATGGTAACCATGCGACCTGTTGTCGCCGAAGCTTGGCACTGAAGAATCCTGCTAGTCGTGGCGAGTCACTACGTGTTACATAAAGTGTTGCTCCAATTCCTGGCTTCCTAACAGCACCATCAGTTACAATCCAGAGTTGGTCATCGGGGTGGGGCAGTACTATGGATTTGTTGGATGCGAGAGCAGTCTGTGCTGTTTTGAAGGCATCGAGCAAAGAATCAGACCACAGAAGCTTTTCACTAGACTGGCGACCGCCTACTTCAGCATCAAGTGGGGCAAGGAGTGTGGAACAACCAGGTATTACACGGGACAAGACCTTGTAAGCTCCTATAAATGACCGTAAGCCAGTCACTGTTTCCGGAGGTGAACAAGAAGCCAGAGTTGATATGCGGTGTTGACTTGCCTGAATGGATCCTTGGTGCCATTGCCATCCTAGGATGGTTGTTGTCCTGGGAGCAATGACTGTCTTGTTAGGAGATAATCTGAGATTGTTGTGTTTGAGCGCTTCAAGTACGCGTCTCCAATGACGAAGTAACTCATCCGGGCTATCAGCACCACAATGAAGGTCGTCAGCAAGCTTAGCAATCACCCCTTCCTCTAAAAGATCCCCTAGTACGCGGCACATGAGCTCCTCCAATGCAGTTTCAGACCCCGGCATTCCCATTGCAGACCTGGCATATACTCTCACACCACGGAACGGGGTCACTACACCGCAGTATTTCATCGACTCCTTGGACAGAGGAATCTGATAAAAGGCGTTGGTTAAATCTGTGGTTATAATGTACTTCCACTTGGCAATCTGTCTTAGAGTAGAATCGACATCAGGCATGAGGGAAGGTTGTGGCTTACTGTATCGTCCTACATCAGAGAAGGCGGTCACCAATCTGTAACCACCACTGGACTTCTTGATTAGGAAAGAAGGGTTGAGGTATTCTACTTGGATACCTGCATCTTCAGGTCGTACAAATACACCCATCCGCTCAAGTTCATCGAACTTTTGTTGGAGCTCAGAAAGTTTATCTCGTGAGTATTGCGGGACACGACCCTTCCGTTGTGGAGGTTGTACAGGTCCCATGTTAACAAATGCTTGAAAGGGGCCTGAAGCACCATTATAGCCATCGATATGTTGGTTAAACACATCGTCTAACTCTGTAAGTAGTAACTCAAACTGAGATTTGGTATCTTGCGGGAGGATATTGTCTGGGTCTACACAAACAGTGGATGAGAAACCAATGTCCTTAATTTGAGGGGACATAGTTGGTGGTAGCAGATGTGCCGGCTCAACATCATAATCAGGGTCGCAGTCAGGTATAAAAACTGGGCGAATCTGGCAAAAGTGCTTGTGTTTCTTGAGCAGTTGTGGAGTGTCGGACAGATTCGGGATCCTGATTTTGCCTGAGACGCTTGAGATAATTCCTAATTCTGGCCAAGTGGATGATAAGGTAGAGCGTCCAGGTCTGGTATCTATGCGGGGTTCTATGGCAAATGTGAAATCCGAAGGAGCAAAGCTTTCAGGAACCGGCACCTCAATAAAGTCTCCAGGCCATATGGTAGTAGAAGTGTCTGGGGCTCTGAGTACACAAGCTCGTCTCACAGTATGTTCGTCACCAGTTGTTTCTGTGGAACCGTATGTGTATGTCGTGCCATCACCAAGTATGATCTGATGTTTTGCAGGGCGTACTGCCACATCGTTGGCCTCCATAAATGGTATGCCTGCAAGGACTTCTACATCCAGGTTTTCCACCACAAGACCATTAAAATCGAACTCCTTGTTGTCGCGTGTGAAAAGGATTCTTGTCTCTCCAACGACCTTCAGTGGGGAAGAGCCATCTGCCTGATGGGCTGACTGAGAGCTAGTCTTGATGTCAGCGCCGAAGCCTGTTGCTGTTGAGAGGCGGATCATGTTACCAGTAGCTCCACTATCTACAGTGACTCGTGCCGTCTGGTGGCCACAGAAACAGTACATATAGGGCGACTGACGGACTTGCACACGAAGAGTGGAGACAGGTTCAGTAGATGGCACTGCACACGCATTTTCAACTGTATCACTAGCATCGTCAGCAGGGTCATCAAGTATACTGGCAATTTGTCTTGCTTTGACCATGTATCTCCGGTCATGATCTGGAAGGGACTTGCACTCGCTGAGATAATGAACGTGATCGCTGCGTCCTGCAGCTTTACACAGTGGGCATGATTTTTGAAACTTTCTACCTGTTTGTTGTGCTTTAGCAAAACGTGAGAATGACGAGCGCTGTTGTGAAGTGTTTGTCCTCATAACCTTAGCATCCTCTGCAAACAAAAATACTCATTCAATACTTTGTATCCCCCCTGAGGATGTCTGTGAACCTCCCCACAAACCCTGAACATGCTGAAACAGAAAACAACTAACTTGTCTTTATCTTTTCAATGTTTCAGTGTGAATTTGTTAAAGATTGATAAGCTGTCATTATTCATTGTAATCCATATCTCACTTTCAGGTGGTTCAGGTGGTAACACTTGATTGGAATTGAATGCCACATTTTGTTTGACATGCACTTTGCCAGACTTATACCCTTGGTAACTAACCCTCATCAACAAATCCCAGCGTTATGTTGAGAATAAGGACACAACCCCTAAACTGTTAAAAGTCCTGCACCTGTAGCTCTTATGCAAGCCAAAATAGAAATACCATGTCACAACAAACACTTGATCATAATAATAACAAAAGGTTTCCGAAAACAACAAAACTAAAAGGTCCGTTGACGTTTACAGTAGTAACATGGAGATCAGGAAAATACCTAAATCAATCCATTCCATAAGATCTCTGTATAGAAATCATGGAACAATATGTCTCGAAGCCCTGCTACGTACCTGGCATCCGCAAGCTGCTCCTCCTTCGGCTGTCAATCGAGTTTACTTGACGTCCTCGTTGTGGATTTCGACCGGGATTTCCGTGTTAGAGGTGACTGAGAACAATGTATCGATACACGAGGTAAGCATATCGCAATCATGGTGTACATCGATTACACGAGGTTTGAGTGTTTGTTTACATTTGTGTTCCAAAATGGCGCCCTCGGCCATACAGGGAATTATGGGTAGACTTGCTTGTCCCGGAATAACACGAGTTGGTCACGAATGACGAGCGGTCATTTCTGCAGCTGTTACGGAAAGAGACGAGGTTGGCCGATTACAGTTCATACAGGCCATATTGGGAGCCGCGGGGATTTCGACAGTGTGTATTAGGAAGTATACGTACGTCGTGTATGGAATATGCGTTTGCCTACAATGCAAGACAGTGTGACAAGGGATATCCCAGCGGACGTAATATTCCTACAGCAGAAATGTTTCACAACCTTGATTGCAAGTAAAATAAATGCAATTAAACTTGCAAACACAAATAATTGTTAATCACCTAAAAACAGTTTACATTAGAAATTAGCCTCTGCTCAAATTTACTCATGATTCTGATTGGGAGGTGCAACTTATCATTGAAAGATCACATGCTTTGAAGTTTTAAGTAGCAACCCCTAAAACCCCCCTTTTGGGTTGCACAGACCACTTTCACCCCTATCGGAAACACATTAAATGGCCTGGCCGGGCCCGTGTGCGAAATACGCATCAGTCGGAAAGCGCACGTTAAATCTCCAAAGTAAGTAAGTAAGATTAGCTCAATGTCAAGGTCAAAACTGAGTCTTGCGAAAATGTCAAGAAACTGGACAACAGGTATACTATATATTTCATATTTATTTTAGTAAGTAGGAAATAAATAGTAATTTTATAGAAATTTCATTTATATATCTTTCGGCCAGGAATCAACATGTCTCTCCAGATAACAGACAGCAATTAGTAGCCCTTTTTGCCAAAACAAGGTGCTGTTTTCGTCCGAGAAAGCAATGACATTTTGCTGAGCTGCCGTTTTAGCCTCACCCATAAGAGATAACCTAATAGATCGGGTGATCAGGCTTGGTGACCTGGTTCATGGCATCTGACAGTGACCACCTAACAGTGTGGATTGATGTTCACAATATCAATCACTGGATTGTCTAGAATCTTGGGCCTACCTTAAGAATACAGTACCTAAATTTTCAAACAGGTCACAATACCCTGTGATGTAATTCGTAGTATTTTTTGCTTGACACACTGGCAAAACAATGCCTTGTGATGTCAGGGGTCATTGGGTGTGCATATATATGCTCTTTTCAGTGGTCTATCGTCTCCATACGCTATGTTGTTGCATAAGTATTAATTATTTGTTTACTAAATATTGTTTTAAACATATTTATTTCACAACTTGTGAACTGGATGGGTAAACAAGCAAAAACTTATTTGAATACCGCTCCAGAATTAGAATACAATATGATATGACATAGGTACAGTCAAGAAATACAATTATATACATGTTCTTATTATAGAAACTACGTTGTCGGCGCTGTCAGGTCGCATTTTTAGTAGTAATAGTATTATAAAATTAAGATGCTATGTAAAATCACAAAACCTATTGGATAGCTCAATGTAGTCTTGTACTGATTTAAGAATTTCTAAGTTTATTTTTGTCGTCCTTTCAGGATTACCTAATAGAATTGAATTTAGATCATATCCCTTAACATAATAGTACATATTCTGTCTTAAATCATTGTAATTTGGGCATATGAGAAAGAAGTGAAGTGCATCTTCAGTGTGATGGTCACAGCTACATGCAGGATTATCTGATAACTATTTATAACAAGTGCTTGTTTATGAAAGCACCTTTCTTTTCTATATGCTTTTATTTCATTTTTTACTTATTACAGTGGTTAAAATGATTATAAATATAAATTGAAACCTATAATGTGCAATAACCGGGTTATAGCTGAAACGTCACCTTGGCAAAACGGCACTGACTGGCGAAATACTCGCCGAAAGCGAAAACGGCGATTATTACTTGACGAAAATGACTCCTTATTTTTTTTTTACCTTAGTAAAATAAATGAAATTAAACTTGGATTGATAACTTGCAAAGACCAATAATTGTAAAGTGTTAAAACAAGTGTACATTAGAAATTAGCCTTTACTCCAACTTATCCTATACCCGACTCAATTTATTGTGATAACATGCTTTGAAGTAAAATATATGGAATCAACACACATCGTCTCATACAAACACAAACAGTTGTTAAACGTTGAAACAAGTTTACCTTCGAAATAGTCCCCTACTCCAATTTACTCACCGACTCTGATTGGCAGACACAGCTCACTTATTGTGAATGTATTTTTCACTTTAAAGTTTAAAGTACTCAATGTCAAGCTGAAACTGTATTTAAGAATCCTAACATGGTGCTGTCAGATCACAATTTTTCACAATGGCCTTTCGATGTGTCATTTGAACATGTTGAAAGGTTTTACAAGAGATATTTGACAGTAATAATTGATGCTATTTCTGCCCTTACATTACAACAAATAAATCAGCCAATATGGAACTATTTTATTGATATGTGGCAACAAACATACTTCAGGCTGTACAGTTTACAAATGGGTTAATATCTATGTCATCTTGTTCCTCCTTATGTCTGGGCAGTTGCTCGCTTACAATTTACAGTTACAGACAGAAAATACCAGAACCGTTAACTACTACAAATCAAATACTGTATGGGTTTCACTGAAAGTGTCGCCACAACTGAAAATCTTCAAATACCTGTATTTGGCTACAACTACGACTATTTTTTTTCTGTTCCTGCCTATTATCCTCAGGGAAGGATGCAGTGATTTATTTAAGTGCACACATATATCACAGTTAACTCCTGAAGTCTATGAAAGTTATTTACAAGTTATACACATAAGGACTTAAAGGTGGAGAATGTATTGATGTCAACTTCTTTATTATGATGATCACAACATTTCGGAGTATGTACTTACTCCTTCATTAGGTGAATATTCACAATTCTGCTCCAAATGCTTAGATCAATGCTCATATTGTCAACCATATTTGCCATTTTTATATCATATTCATGTGTATGATACATTTTATTTCTAATAATGGCGTAATTTGGACACACAAATATAAAGTAACCCAATACTTGCTGTAACGGGTGACAATGCTTGTCTAAAGAGTTGACTAACGCGATCAGGTGGTGGTCAGACTCGGTGACTTGGTTAATGCATGTCATTGATCCCAATTGTGTGGGTCGATGCTCATGATGTCAATCACTGGACTGTCTGGTCCATACTCGATTATTTACATATAGCCGGAATATTGCTTGAGTACGGCATAAAACAACAAACCGAAGCATAAGTGCGGGATGAGTGATTTGAAATTAGCAAGTTTTATGTGACCTTCAATCACTACAACCTGATCTGAGTCTTGAAAAGATATGACTTTGATTCAGTGAAAATTTGCATCATGATAGTTTCAACTGTAGATACAGTTAATCTGTTTTTGTACAGTTTCTGTTTATTAAATGTATATGTTGTTCAAATAAGCTTTGCCTCTTCACCAACCCTCTTCCTCTTTTGGAATAAATAGTGTCTAATAGTTCAAACACCATCACCACTAATCATCCTAGTGAACACAACAAAGAACTGCACATCAAAAACGTCATTATTATTATTTCTGATCTCTGATAAATTAGAAAAAAACTGTTATCCAGCAAGATACATTTCCTTGGTCCCAAGAAGCATGTTACATAGTAAACTGACTTGATAAGTTGAATAGCAGTCAGCGTGGTTGTAAAGGCACAACTGACTAAGTTGTTGTTGTTGTTGCATTAGGTGTTTAAGAGGTCGCCTTCTGCCTAGGCAATTTCGGCTGACCTGTCCCTCTTTGGGACTCCTGTGTGTGAGAAGGGTTCACATATCTATTGTGAGTTCGGTGTTCACATAATTTCTGTTTTTGCATTGATATGATTTCATTTTTATCCTTGGCTGCTCTGTTTATAATGGTTCGAGCAGCTGTCCATCTCTCAGAAATAGAGTTAGTTTGGCCTTCGCTATTGCATCTCTTGGCTTTAGGAGATCTATGACAGATAGCGGATCTAACTGCAATTCTTGTTTTAACCTAGCCCGGGCTGGGGCATGGTCTTAACATTCTAGTAACAGGTGGTCAATGGTTTCAGCCTGATTGCAAGATGAACAAACCTTGTCATAGTGCTTTTTGTGACCAAGTCTGAGGCGTGAGATAGCAGTTTCAATTTTCCTTTCATTTCAGTATGAGTTTGGCTTTTGTTGGACCTTGGGTTGAATTTTGTATAGCCATCTGCCGATCTTACTTGCGTCCCATTGGGTTTGCCATCTTTTTGCTATGGAGGCTTTGATTTTGCTTTTTATCTCTAGTTTACTAAAGGGAATAGGCTGTATATCCGCTTTGTCTAGAGCTAGCTTCGCCAGTGAGTCTGCTTTTTCATTTCCATGAATATCTATGTGAGAGGGGATCCAACACAGCTCCACCTGTTGCCCTTGGTCCGATAGTTTTGTATATTCGTATAGAATATTGTTGACTGTGTTTGGCCTGGAGTTTGAGTTTCTTCCACTGATGGCCTGAAGTGCACTTAGCGAGTCTGATAGGACGACTGCCTTTGCTTCCGGGAGTTCCGGTATGAGTTTGAGTGCATGATGAATTGCCTCCAATTCAGCCGTGAATACTGACTGACCATCGGGCAAGCGAACTGAATGTGCTTGGGGTTTGGAGCTGTGGATATGGATCCCGTAACCAGCACTGTTGTTGATAGGATTCTTGGATCCATCAGTGTATATATGGGCCCAGCTGTCCCAGGTAGTTTGAATTTTAGTGATAGCTACTGATCGTAGTAGGGTTGGGTTTTCTCTTTTAGTTACTTCTGATGTTAAAGCAGTGTCAACTTTGGGAGTTTGTAAAGTCCAGGGAGGGTGTAACCCTTTGTAGTGACTTTCTGGAGGCTGAATGTCATCGCAATTGTGACTTCGAATGAGTTCACGTACTAATATCCCAGATGGCTTTAGTGAGGGATTTTTTCGAGCTAGGGCCTCATCTCGAGCGTTTTTGTCTTGCCATATCTTTTTAACCAAAGGGTTTGATGTTCGTCCCCAGAACGATAATATTGCCTGCTCTCGTCTTAGTTTCAATGGGAGTTCTCCCGTTTCTACTTGTAGTGCTTCTAGTGAGGTGCCTGTCGCTGCGCCTGTGGCCAGTATTAGGGCTTTGTATTGTATTCTGTCTAGTCGCCTCAAGACAGTATTTGATGCTGAGTGAAAAGCCTCACAACCATAGTCAATTTTTGATCTGATAAGAGCTTTG